CCGATCAAAACAAAAAGAAGAAAGCAGCCGGCAAGGAACACTTGCAGGTCATCTATGGTGGACCGGAGGGGAGAGATTCTGCTTCCCAAAGAAAGAAATGGGGACGGGAGCTCTACGTCGGCGCAGTTGCCCTAGATCCCCGGAGGAAACAAACCAGGTGAGAACCGATCACTTTCACAGATCGAGATCTTCCCGCCACCGGGGAAGATCACAATGATCCCCTGGTCATACCCATGGATATGGGTGGAGTCGATGTCTCCCGGGTACTCGTTGACACGGGCAGTAGTGTCAACATTTTGTACTTAGACGCCTTTGAGAAACTCAAGCTGTGTCGGACACGGCTTGAGCCCTTAAAGACTCCCCTGTCCGGGTTTACCAGTGATTCTGTGGAAGCTGAGGGGTCAATCCTCTTAACTTGCAAGCTGGGCACAGGAGACAAGGTCGTGCAAAAGCAGATGAGATTTGTGGTGGTGAACATCAAGTGTGTTCACAATGCCATCTTAGGCCGGCCAGGAATCAACAAGGTTCGTGGAATCATTTCCATGGCCCATCTTTGCATGAAGTTCTATACCCCGGGCAGTATAGGACAAGTCAGAGGAGATCAAAAGAAAGCCTAGTCTTGTTATCTTGAAGTTATGAAAAAGATGAAAAAGGCATTTGAAAGGGTTACCCTGGTTTCCCAGGAGGAAGACCGGTCAAAGCTGGAACCGGGTGATGAAACCGAGCAGATTGTTCTCCAGGAAGCATTCTCGGAGAAAATAGTAAGGATAGGCCGGGATCTTCCTGGAGGACTTCGAGAGGAAATCATCTCAGTCCTTCGGGAGTTCACCGACATATTCGCTTGGAGTGTGGCGGATATGCCGGGTATTGACCGATCCATTATCTGTCACCGGTTGGCTGTGATGGAAGGTAGCCGGCCAATAAAACAAAAGAAAAGGCACTTAGCAAATGTCCGGAGGGAGTTTGTTAAAAAAGAAGTGAAGGATCTATTGGCGGTCGGGCATATCAGGGAAGTCCAATACCCGGCTTGGTTGGCAAACGTCGTCCTAGCACCAAAGGGCGACACTTGGCGTATGTGCATCGATTATACTGATCTCAACAAGGCATGCCCCATGGATTCATATCCGTTGCCCAGTCCCGACCAGATGGTTGATGAGACGGCTGGGTGTGAATTGCTGAGCTTCATGGACGCCTTCAAAGGCTACCATCAAATCATCATGGCCGAGGAAGATGAGGAAAAGACTTCCTTCTTGACTCCTAAAGGCACATATTACTACCGGGTGATGGCCTTTAGACTTAAAAACTCGGGCGCCACTTATCAACGGATGGTGAACCGGCTTTTCAAGCCACTCCTTGGTAAGTCGATGGAAGCCTACATAGATGATATGCTGATCAAGAGCCCGGGAGCAATAAACCACCCGGCTCATATGAGGCTGTGTTTTGAGATCATGACAAAATACAACCTGCGCCTCAACCCTAAGAAATGCGTCTTTGCTGTAAAGACCAACAAGTTCTTGGGGTTCATGGTGACCAAGCGGGGTATTGAGCCAAATCCGAAGAAGATAAAAGCGATAACGGAGATGAGGTCGCCCGGTTCCCTGAAGGACGTGCAGCGACTAACCGGGCGGCTTGCAGCTTTGAGCCGTTTTCTTTCCCGGTCAGCCAAAAGAGCCCTACCATTCTTTAAGGTCCTGAAGAAGGCCAGCACGTTCGAATGGGACTAGGAATGTGAAGAAGCTTTCTAGCAGCTGAAAGAGTACTTAGTTTCTGATATAGTTTTATCTAAACCTAGCCGGGTGAAACTTTGTACTTGTATCTGGGCATATCCCAGAATGTTGTAAGCTCTGTTTTGATAAGAAATGAAGATGACCAAAAGCCTATTTACTATGTGAGCAAAGCACTAAATGGGACAGAAAGCCGGTACACTGCCATTGAGAAAACAGCATATGCACTTTTGATAACGGCCAAAAAATTGACCGCATACTTCCAAGCTCACACTGTAGAAGTACTGACCGATCGGCCACTTGGACCGGTCCTTCGCAATTCGACCTCTTCAGGATGAATGATCAAGTGGGCAATGATGCTCACTCAGTTCAAGATTGAGTATAAACCCAGGACCGCAATCAAGGGTCAAGCTTTGGCCGACTTCCTTGTTGAACTCACCGGTCTGGAGCCTGAAGTCGGGCCTTCCCATACGGTCGAACTGTGGTGGGACATGGCCGTTGATGCCCCTCTGGACCGAAGGGATGCGGAGCCGGCATAGTTTTTACTACTCCAGAAGGGTTCAAAATCTACCATGCCTTGGTTTTTAACTTCAAGCTCACCAACAACGAGGCGGAGTACGAGGCATTAGCTGGTGGCCTCAGATTAGCTCGGGCACTTGGGATAAAAAGAATGAAGATCCGATCGGATTCAAGCCTGGTCGTTGGCCAGGTCAATGGCAAGATGGAGGTCAAAGAAGAGCGTCTGGCCCGGTACAGTGACCTGGTCTGAGCACTCCTAAGGGAGTTAGAAGAGTTTCGTCTGACTAGGATACCCCGGTCAGAAAACACTGATGCTGATATGCTTTCAAAGTTGATGCAAGCTTGCCCGGAGCATGTGTCAAAGTTTGCCAAAATTGAGATATTGGCCAAAAGGGAGTTAGAAGAGTTTCGTCTGACTAGGAACCCAGTGTTGACCGGTTTGAGGTCGCAGCCATTTAACAAGGTGAAAACTCAGCTACTGGGGTAATAGAAGCGGATGATGACTGAAGATACGATCTCATGGAGTACTTAATGACCGTCCAGAAACCGAACGACGAAGAGCGAGCCAGGAAGGTAGTCTTACGAGCTCCCCGGTTTCAGGTACTGGACGGTCACCTATACAAACGAGCTATTAGGGGGACCTCTATTACGTTGTCTCACCAATCCAGAGGCGAAACGAGTGATAACCGAGGTACATGAGGGAGTTTGTGCAGCCCATCAAATGTCCCGTACATTGGCCCAAAGGATAATACTGCTCGGCTACTATTGGCCGACCATTGTTAGGGATTGTGAGCGGTATGTGCAAAAATGTAGGACATGCCAAGTCTTTTACAAACATCCCGGCAAACCGCCTACGTATTATCAACCAACATCTAATGTCATACCCTTTGCTCGGTTTGGGATTGACATTATTGGGGCTTTCCCGGTTGCCCAAAGAGGGAAAAAGTTTGTGATGGTCGCTATTGATTACTTTACTAAGTGGATAGAGGCCGAGGCGATGGCCACTATAACCATACGACAATGTGAAAAATTCGTTTGGAAAAACATTGTCACCCGGTTTGGATCCCCAAAGATTATTGTCACCGACAACGGCCCACAGTTTCGCAACCCCCGGTTCACAGCATACTTGGCCAGTTTTGGAATCAAGCATAACAAGGCGTCAGTAGCATACCCGCAAGGAAATGGCCAAGTTGAAAATGCTAACCGGACGATAGTGGACGGGCTAAATAAAAGGTTGGGTGAAGAAGGGCACAAGTGGTTGGAAGCACTGCCCCATACCATCGGGGTGCACAAGGTGACTTCGAGAAGAGCAACCGGGGAGACTCCATTCGTGCTTACTTATGGATGTCAAGCCCGACTGCCAATCGAGGCCGAATTTCCAACGTTTAGGGAGACCGTGTATCAACCCGGTCAGAACGAGACCGACCACTTGGCTGAGTTGAACCTGGTGGAGGAGCGTAGAACTATGGCAGCCATCAGAATGGCTGATTACCAGCAGTCAGTAAAGAGATATCATGACAACCGGGTGGGTCCACGATACTTCCAAGTGCATGATGAGGTCTTACGCAGAAGGGATGCAAGTAAGCCCAACGAGAGAGGAAAACTAGTGCGCAATTGGGAAGGACCCTATCGCATTAAGGCGATCATCTGACCGGGTACTTATCAGCTGGAAACCATGGAAGGTGGACGAGTCGACCGGCATTGGAACTCTCACCACTTGCGCAAATGGTGATAAGTTCCCGACTATGAATAAAGCTTTATCTTTGCAGAAAGATTGTTCTCAGCACCAACCGGTAATTGGTCACTTACCAATATGACCGGCCAGATGTTCAATCGAATTGAACATCTCAAAAAAAAGAGAGACCGGTCTAACCGATCAAACTCTTCATCCGTATTGACACGGGATTCAAATGACCAAACTAAAGGGAGAGCATCCTGGTCGGTTAAGTCAAATGATTAAAGAAAAATGTGAGGCTTATTTTTCAACAAAGGCGATAAGCCAATGTGAATGACAAGCTGGCTTTACGAGCACCCGGGCAAAAAACTATCCTTTCGAAAAGGACAAGTCAAACTGCCATCGCGGGTCTACAAACCGACCGGGAGGAGATTAGTCGGATCTATTCTCTCCCTGGTTGCCCACTCAGTCTTTCCCGGGCTGTAACTTACCAATCTACACGGTTGAAAATTTAAAGTTGAACGGAGTTTATACCAAACATGCAGTGAGAATAATAAATAAGGTACTCAGACACTCAAAACACAATATGGAAACAAAAATTTCATTAACATATTAATGTTTAACAAAAGTGCCCGGGGGCTGATCATTACATATGAAAATAAAAAAAAAGAAAAGAGAAGATGGCTGGGCGATCAGATTCCTGGGAAGGGCGGTAGGCCGCGCAGTACTTCAGGAGCTTCTCCTCAGCCTTCTTCGCCTTCAGATGGGCGGCCTGGGCGTCCTTGCGGCAGGCTACCATCATGGCTTCTAGCCGAGCCTTCTTCTCCTCTATGGATTTCACCAGCCGGGTGAAATACTCCAGGCCGATCCGGCCGACCTGCTTTAAAGACACGGAGATTTTTTCAGAAAAATAAATTTGAAATACAATGAAATAGACAGAGAAAAGGTGGAGGGGTTACCTCTTGCCGATTAGATTGAAAGGCTTGGAAGAGTTTTTCATCCGACCGAACCATCAGAGCAAATGGTCGGGGCTCGCCGCACACTTTGCCGGCGTCGGAGGACTGGGCCGGCTGGTCCACAACCTCAGCCCTCCGATGAATAGCCGGTCTCCCCCAGCATGTTCTCAAACTCCATGGTGTCTACGTTGATGTAGAGCTCCCCGGAGTGGATGGGTTGGCTGGTGCCCTGATGAGACTGGGCTGGCTGCTCATCCAGGGAGAAGGGCTGGCTAAGGGGCTGGACGGTGGAAGGCTCCTCGTCGATGGGTTTGGGGGTGGCGAACTTGGAGCTAAACTTCACCACTGAGACAAAAAGATAGAAACGGGTTAGTAAATGAGAGTTGCGAAGTAAAGAGTAATTAACATAAAGGAGAGTTGAGAAGGGCGGTAGGGTTGGACCTTTCCCCTTCTTCTTCCCCAGGCGTGAAGGACCGGCGGTGGCGGAGACCGGGGAATTGGACCCTCTCACCTGGCGGATTGGGATGACATTTGGGATCGCCTGTGCCAGAATGATCTCTGGCTCGGGATCAGTCTCTCGACTGGGGTATACTCCCCACTTCCCGACGTTGTAAAGACCGCGAGTGGAGGCGTCCCTAGCCCGGAGAGTGGTCTCCCAGGCGACTAAGTCATCGGCCTCCCGGGGTTTGACCTGGCGTTTCATTCTCTTCCCCCAGACATTTTGGGCGAAGGGGAAAGCAGCCAGGGGGAATTTGATAGAAACATATTTGTCCTTCCACTTCTTGTTGGAAGGAGGAATGCCGCAAAGAAACGCTCGGCCCTGATGGGAGGATACAACCACGAATCCAAGGGTTTCCTTGGACCCGGGCCGGACATCGAACATATGATCGAAGAGACGAAGAGACAGAGGGATACAAAGGAAGCGGCATACATTAATGAAGCTATTGAGCATACGGTGACCATTTGGGGCCATTTGCCCGGGGCATAATCCCGTATGTCTCAAGGAAAAGGACTTTGAAAGGGTGAATAGAAAATTCACTCAAGTCCTTGATAGAATGGTAATGGATACCAATCGTTGTACCGGTGTGAAGAGAAATGATATTCTTCCACGTTGCCCGGTAGGTCAACTGGTACCCATTCGGCATCAGATTGCGCAGCTCGTGGATTTGAGCCTTCTGCATGTGTGACGGTTGTTGTTGGAGCAACTGGTCATCCAGCAGAATGAAGCCCTCATCTCCAGGCTGGGCAATCGAGACCACTTGTGCCGCGGAAGAAGAAGGGGCACAAGTGGGGGCATCAACAGGCTGCTTCTGTGGAGGAGTAGCCAGGCACTCAAAAGATGAGGAAGAAGCAGAAGAGGAACCGGAGGTCTAAGACCGGGCAGCAGAACCATAGGAATGGATGGAAGGGTTCTGGCTATCCTCGTGGTCAGACGTGACTCAAAGAAATGGAGGAAAGAGAAACTTACTTGGAGCAACTAGAAGACTCGGAGGACTTGAGAAATAGTGGAAGCGACCGGGCAAATTTTTAGTTGCTCATTTGCAAGTGAGAAAATTCAAGGGGGAACCTCGCTTTATATAGGGAAGGTGCCGCCCAGCCGAACGAATAGCGAAGCGACATGTGGCAGCTGAAATGATTCGTAATCATTACTTCTCAGGGAGACGAAACGGCGCAACAAATCGGTGGCGCCGTACCAGATTTCAATGAAGATTCTCCCGCCTCAGGCGCCCGGGTTTTCAAAAATTCAAAATTCAAATATATTGGTTTTGGCGCTGATTTGCAGAAGCCGTTTTCCCGCCAAAATACGTCTGGGCATTTCAAATTTGAAAGAATGCTTGGATATGCTTCCTGCCCCTGATGGTACCCACAGGGCCTAGAATCGGAGGACTCTTTGATGGGTAATAACCCATGGATACCGCCCGGTAGGTCCGACCGATTGGGAGGTACCAGACGTGATGCCGCCTAGCCAAGTCCACCCGGTCTGAGAGACCGGTCTGACATCCGGAACCGAAGACACAGTCTTGGGTTGCAAAGACATGTAAAATATAGACCGGGCAGTTCATTGACCGGCTCGGCAGTGTTAGACGTGCTTGACGTGCTTAGGATTACTATAAATACCCCTAAAAGCCTCATTTGTGAGGCATGCTTTAATTAATCCACACGGCTTGTACTTTGTAATAGCTCCTATTATCATTAATAACAAACCGGGTTACAGGTGTTTCCACCTACAGCCCTTCCGATTACTTATACTTCATATTAGCGCGGTAATTTACACCATCGATTGTCATATCATAATAATTCATTTCAAGACTTGTCACATCCTTCCCGACAATCTCACCCCGTCTGCCGCAAGGATCACATTGTTCTTTCTGTTTACTTGCGTGTAGCAAATAAAGCATACTACACGCTCATCGTTTAAGCTGAGTAAGCATATCTAATGCATCGAATATCCATATAAACTGAATCCAAATTCATAATCAAATCATTTGATATCATGCACACAATGTTCAATTTAGACATTCACAATTTTGATATTGTTCAGTTCATATCAATATATTTTATTCAATTCAGATATAATTTCGAAAGTTTTCTTAAATAATTCTTAATATAAGACCAAATAATAATAACGCTCTTAATTATTCTTAGTCTAAGGCCAGATCATAACAACGCTCTTAGCTATAATTAAAGAAGAAAACCCCCCAAATAGGAGTAAAATATATGTTATGTTCTCAAAGTAGGAGATCAAACTTAAACTCCTCTAAATAGGAGTAATTAACTAATTTAAGTTTTGGTCGAGATTTTCTCTCTCTAAAAGAGGGATTTTGTTCTTTGCAATTCCGGCCGGCTCCCTAGATTGCCATTACCCTTGAATTTGTGGTTCGTGTTTCTTGATTTTTAGCTCTTTTGGATCATCTTCAGTAGCTCGTATGATTCTGAGCTTTTCGCTATTGATTTAGGGCTGAATCGAGATCAATTGAAGTTGATATCCCTCGAAATTCCTATTCATCCTCATACTTTGCAGGTCTTATTTTGCTGGATTGTTGGCCAAATTGAAGCCTAATTCTTGAGGGATTGTGAGCGGCTAGCTTAGACCATTGAGATTCTTAAGTTTGTTGATCATTCCAAACAAATATTCTTGATTTTGGCCAAGATTGGGTTTTTGAGCACTGTTCACAGCGCGACTTGGAATTGTAATCCTGACCAGGTTCTTGGTGCATCTCTTCTCCGTTTTTCTGGTGTTTCTTGGTAGAATTCAAGGAGCAATTAACTACTCCGTATTTTTCATTTACAATAATTATAATATAATATTAAATATATAAAATATATTTAACACTCCTTTCACCCTCTCCACCATTTCTGTTACCTCCGAGTGGTGATACTTCCATAGCCTTGTGTAATTTTAATTTTAATTTCATATTCAATCTGACATAAGTGGTTACATTCCATTTGAAATCTGGAAATTTACTTCTTATGGAATTATTTTGTAAAATCGGTACCAATTCTTTCAGGTGTGCTTAAGTTTGAATTCAATTTCACATAAGTTGTGACATTTGATTTTAAATTTGGATTTACTTATTAGGAAATTATTTTATAAAACTGGTATTGAAATTGAATGATTATGGTGTTGGCAAATCATAGAGTTTCTTGACATTTAACTTTTTTGGACATTATGCATTAACATGTGTGATATGTAACATTATACTTGAGCATAAATGTCATTACACATTGCCTTGTGTGGCATTATACATTATCATGTTTGGCATGATCTAGATGAGTCGACTATGAATAATAAGGTCTCCCTAGATGAGGTGGTGCACAACCAACTATGAGTGATACAATGAAATATTTGTTCTTAACCTGTGCAATATTTGGCATTTTGCTTCTCTTTGACATTATATAGTGGCATATTTGTACTTATTAGTGGCTATGTTTGGCATTATAGATTGTAATCTTTGGTATTGTGGTATTGTTGCATTGTATAAAGAGTATTTCTTCTTGGCAGTCATGATAAAACCATAATACTACATATGGCGATGATGGCAGATCCCGGTGGTGTTGGCGGCGAAGGAGGTGAGCTTGGTGATGAAGGAAATCATCGGCAACACTCGACTGCACGGTGCCGGGCACGATGGTATGTCATGAGTAAATGCCGGTGGTGTTGGCAGCGACGGTGGCAGTTTTGGTGATGTGAGAAGTCACTAACGATAATATATTGTATGCGCGGGGGATTGTGGAGGCAGTTCTTGGTGGCAGTGACTGTGGGTCGGCAGCAATAGTGGGACGGTTGCACATTTTTATGCTAGATTGTTGGTTGACAAGCATAAAACAACCTTCCGTCACCATCTTTACTTGTGACAACTTAAACACAAGAATATTGCTAAAAACTGAGTAAGAGATCAACATGAAGGGAGTACGTGATTAGATTAATTAGATATTTTTAATTTATTAAATTTATTTCGATTCATTGGTGGGATTACTATTTACTGCATGTAGCATGAATGTTTGAAAATGGAATTGCTCTAACAAATTAAATTTATTAAGTGTGTGTGTGTATATACACACACACACACAAATATATTTATAATTAAAAATATTTCAAAAAAAATAGAAGAAGAAAGTGTATATACTACTGTTATGTCTATTATGAGAAGTTACAAAATCTAGAAGTATTATTGAAGTGTTATCCACAAATCCACAATGTTTTGGCTTCATTCAACAAAAGGTTCGCAACCTTCTCCGCTATATTTCTTCCTACTTTGTGTTTCTTTTTTAACAATTGGACAAGTGATTAATTAGATTAATTAAGTTAATTGGAAATTTAAGTTTCAACTCTTATTTTGGAGATATGATATATGTTTTAAGTTTGGTCCTTTTCCCTAATTAAAAAAGAAAGAATAGCATTGACCTTCTGCAAATGCCCTTCCCTCTATTACGGAGTAAATAAAAGGAAAATGTTTGGTTCACAAACAAAATTGTCACAAACTTCACAAACTTATTATTTGTGAACTTCAATAAATATAATTAAATAGTCTAAACTAATTTTAAAATGAAAATTTAAACCATAAATAGTACTCCCTCCGTACCCATGTATTTGTCCACTTTCATTTTTACACACCATCCAATGCATTTCTTTAATCCATTTTATCTTATAATTTGTATATTAAAAAATTATAAAAATTATATATTAATAATCTATATGTTAAGACAAATCAAACAAGATCACGCATGACTATATTTAGGCTTACACATTGAAAGAATTTGATGAGTCAAAGTGTTTAGATGAACAGCTCCAAAAATCAAATATGGACAAATACAAGGGAACGGAGGGAGTAAGTTTGTAAAGTTTGTGAATATTCCTTTTGTGAACGTGGCATTGCTCTAAATAAAATGTATGAGTCTACAATCCTCATCCCTCTCCCATATGCACAACATACATAAATCACACAAACAATCAAACAAATAAATCAGACGCCAAAGTTAAACTAACTAAATTACAACACATCAAACACACTCAAAATTTCAATTCTTACACAAAAAACAATTCTTTAAAAATATTCCATCATTGAAAATAAAAATGAACTAAAAAAAAATGCAGTGGCTTCAGCAACACTCCTAGGGCAGCAACACCGCAACATTGAAGATCCAAAATTTGCTCTTCAAGATTTAACATGAACACAAGACCTGAAATTTCATCATATAATTCTTCAAAATCTGGAATATAAAAATTATAAAAACCAGGAATCGACATACAAAAATACGAAAAATATTTGTCGGAGAAACCATATAAACTTACCTCAAATAGTATGAAAACTGTAGATCCAAAAAGCAAAAATGGTAGATCTGAAAAGCTAAAAACCTTTCATGGGAAAAAACTCTAGATCCAAAAAAAGACAAAAATCAAGAGAGAAGCTATTGAATAAAGAAAGGAATCATTCGAAGAACATACTTGAGATCGGAAAAGAACATTACATTGAAAAACCCTAGATTTGTAGAAATCAACCCCTTATCTGCATCGATCCCATCAAAACTTGTAGATTCGTAAACATAGTGCACAAGATATGTTGTGCTCGAAGAAGAGATCACAAAAAAAATTTAAGAAGATTGCAGTGGTAGATCTTGGATGATTGAGAGAGAGATGGGGGGTGGGAAGAGATGGTGGAGAGAAAAGATAGAAGGGGATGAATAAGGTGGGGAGAGAGTAAATAAAGTAGGGGTAGTTTAGGTATTTCATAAATAAAACTTTGCCAAGAAAGGAAACATGCAATTTATTTTGGGACCAACCGAAAATGAAAACAAACAATTTAAATTGGAACGGAGGGTGTATATTTATATAGGGGCTAGGGTTTTGACTGGTAGAGTTAGAAAAGATTTGATTTAGGATCCCACCCAAAAATAATAAACTCCATAATAAAATATTGAACTATAGAGAATGAATATCAAGTTTATTATAAATTTTGGAAAATTTCTTAATAAACTACACTGGTACTCATGAATCATTGATTGCAGCCTTATATTTTTTTATTAAACGCAACACGATGCAATTCATCTAAATCTAGGAAGAATTAATCGTTGAATCAACAATGTATTGTCTAGCTTATTTTGAAATTACAAGCAATGTTTGACAAAAATCTCCACCAAAGAAGTTTTCCTCCGAACATTTGATTTTCACTCATTAGATTGGAAAATCGTAGAATATAGCAGAAACTTCTATATATATTTCAAAGCAATACCTAAGTGTCATTGGTGTTTCGTACCAAATATTTAACTTTGTCTTCACTAATAGTTGTGCTAATGAAGTTCCTTGCTTTATGTTGCAAGTTGAGTTTTCATTCAGGTTCAAAGGGATTTTAAAATGTGAATGAGCTATTCTTCCACCTGACAAAAGTAATGATGATATTCCACTTGATGCGACATTCAATACTATATTGCCTCTAGACCGTATTACATCAGATAAAGTTTTCTAGACATACCTATTGCCAGCTTTTATGTACTCATAGAGGAAGAAAACTTTACTCACATTAAAACTTATGCTCCCTCCTAATTAATGGTTCAGTTTACTTTTCTAACTTAAAGTTTGACAAACAATATCTCTTAAAATATATTAGCAAAAAATAGTAAAATTAATACATTAAAAGTATTTTTCAATACCAAAGCCAAATATTAATTCATTATATATTTTTATATATAGTTAGTCAAACGTTAGACATACAAAGCCAAATAGACAGTTAAACATGAATGGAAGGAGTATCTAATAATAAATAATAATATAGTAATAAAATTTTAATTTTTAATACCCCATCTTATTAGGGATGGCAACGGGTCGGGTTCAGTCGGGTTTGAGTATATTGAAACCTAATCTGACTTAGGTCGGGTTCGGGATTGATTTTGGCAGGTCGGTTTTAGATATTAATTTTTTCAGTTCAGATTCGGTTTAAGATTCGGTCTGGTCGGTTACAGTCAATTTCGATTTTGAATACTAATTAAAGTATTCATGAAAAGTTTAAGATTGAAATACATTAGAAATTTAAAATTTTAAAGATGACATAAAATTAAAGATATTAACAAAAATATTTATGACCAAATGACCCTTAAAGATGTCAAATTACTCTTGTTTTTTCCGCACGCGCAGAAAGAGGGAGTGATTGCGGATTTCTGGTCTAGGAAGGCGAAATAGGAGCGGACAAAGGCGTTTTGAGCCCACGTCTTTTTGGGGCAGGAATGGCCCTCGGTGAAATCAGAGAGATCGAACGGCAGCCGTCCGATCCCATCGGGGGCAACATCGGACCAAAAATTCGCAACTGCTCCCTCTTCCCGCGCATGCGGAACAAACAATAGTAAGTTTAAACTAAAATTTATATGGAGTACAAAGAAAATAACATATGTGTGACACACAAAGTTAAACCACAATAAAATGAAATACAAAAAATGCAATACGTTTTAAACTATTAAAAATATGTGTATCAAAAATACATGGAATATAGGAATTTAGAGTTTTTAAAAAATTATTGAAAGTCGGGTACATGTCAAGTCAGTTCGGGTACAGGTCGGGTCGGTCAAATATACTAACCCAAATCCAACCCGACAAAAGTCGGGTTTGGTTTAAATTTTTTCGAGTCGGTTTCGAATATTTATTTTTTCGGTTCGGATTCGGATATTATAAGCCCCGATTGGGTCGGTAAAAGTCGGATTCGGATATAATTGTCATCCCTATCTACCAACGATACCAATATTGAATTTATAATTTTGACATTATGTCTCACTTATTTTTTTGCCCAAACACTTCAGAATGGAAAAAAGTACTACCTCCGTCCCAATTTATAATGCCTGTTTCGGTTTACGATGTTTGACTGAAATTATTTTCAAACCATTTTATATGACAAATGGTATAGAATTAAAAAATAAAAATTACATATTAAAAAACTACATCAAAAGATCTACAAAACTAGTAGTGACAATAATATTTTATTTTATCAAATTGCTAACGAAAATAGAGAAAGAAAGTGAATGAAGTTTGACTCTGTGAATAGTAAACAGATATTATAATTTGGGACGGAGGGAGTATGTTTTATTACTATTTTTTCAACGAAATACATTTTAAGTATGAACTATGTTTCGCTTATATTTGGTTTTAAATTAAACTACTTTTTGTGTTACTTTTATTATTTTTTTCCTTTCATATACTTTTTTAATTAATGTAGTTTATGTTTTTATTTTTTTGTTTACAGTATAAAAGAAGGGGAAAAAGGAAACCCGAAAAAATTAACAGGAAATAAACACACAAAAATAATAAACCCGGAAGAGGAAAAAACGAACGAAAAACATTAATAAAGTAGAAAATAAAAACATATTTTTATTCTTTTTTAAAAGATAGAAGTTCTAATTTGAGTGAAAATAGGTTAATATTAAATAAAAATGAGTGTAATCATAGTAGTAGACACTACGTGTATGAAGTGGGTGAAATGATGAGGATAATCAGTACTGTTGTGGCGCGGCTAGACCTGGGCAAAACAGACCCAAAATCGATTACTCGAATCGAATGATCCGATGTTGAAACCGAAGTGATTCAAAAAGTGTGAAGATTTGATTTATAACCAAATAACTGAAATGATCCAAACCGAATCAAAACCAAACTAAATAAATCCATACCCAATTTAAATCCGAAACTAATTGAATCCAACCAATTAGATCTGAAACTGATTAGATCTAAAATTGAAATATACCCGAAATTGGTAAGGTTCAAAGACGATAAGACCTAAAACAGATAAGATCTAAAACTGATTATATTCGGAATTGGTTCTGCCTGACAGAAACATATTATATTTATTTATGTTAGTGAACAGTTACATCACTGTGATTTTAAATTTTATTTTACCATTTGAACTAGTTATATACTTATATTACTTACTCCCTATGTCCAAAATACATTACCATATATCTATACAAAACATAAAATCCCATATATTTTAAATCAATTTTTTTAAATATTAGTATAAAAATGAACATTACAACTTACATAACAAAAGTTAGTTAAAGTTTGTACAAACTAGAACACGATTAAAAATATGTTTTTTTCACCCCCTCTCATGCAATATTGTGTGGTTGGCCCAACATGTACTTTGAATTGCATTTAATTTTACTCAAATTTTATCTAATTGCATTCAATTTCACTCAATTACAATATATTTTAACTAAATTATACTCTCTGTCCCATTTTAAATTGCCTGTTTGTCTCTTTTCTCCGTCCCAAAATAAGTTGTTTGTTACTTGTTATCGTAAACTTTTATGAGTAAAATACCTAAACTACTCCTAAAATAAGTCACTCTTCTCCACCTTATCTTCTTATTCATCGTCACCCCTCCTAAAAAGTAATGGCAATTTCAGAAAATCAACTCTATTTTTTATTTTCCTTAAATATGCCGAAAAGTCAAAATAGACGATTTATAACAGGACGAAGAGAGTATGTAATTTGGTAGTCCAATTATATTAATTTTATATCCCAACTAAATATGCTTTTCTTTCATTATTCGTAATCTAAATTTATAAAAGATGACTAAGATGATAAAAATAGAAGATATTTAGGACAAAGAAAGTATAAAATAATATGAGGTAATGAATTGATGATAGATTAATAAATGCGATATGACAAAATATGAACGTATAATTAAAATTTTAATTTGAAAATAACATATATGCAAATATATCTAAAACCGATATATATCCAAACCAGAATGTATCCGAAACCGTAATTGATCCGAACCGATTGACATCCGAAATTCAATAGTTAGTTAACTATTCGCATGATTTAGTTCACAATCATTAACTATGCACATGGACGTCCTTATATTAAAAAATATAAGGAATTAAATAAATACATATTTAAATTATAAATAAATGCTTATCAATCACATGAAAAAGTCTATGTGCACCTATATGACCTCGGATGAAATTGAAGTGCAAGTATACAGCAAAAAAGTGTCAATTTCAGGACCTCAAAACAGCCACATTCTGACCTCAACTTCAGAAATGCCCTTCTAGCCATCTAAGCTTGTGGTAGATGAAAAGGAACTGAATAGTGGGAAACTTAAACATCCTGTTAAAGAGAAATACTCCGTAATACGGAGTATTAAAACAATGCAAATTCTATGGGGGACCTATGTAGGTCCACCATGGACCTACATATGAGCAAAATAAGCATTTCTTTACAACTTAAACAAACATTTGTTTTTTCAAATAAAAACATAAAAACAAGATTTTGTGAGGTCCACAAAATTGATATACACCCAAAGTGCACCAAAAAAGCACTCATTAAACAAATGGGACGAAGACCGAAATGTCAGAATTCAATGCTTCCATCTTACCTATAAAAACATTCCGTATTTGACGCAACATGGTTATTAGTAAGGACAATTTTGTAGCTCACATTTATGAGAATTCATTTCTTAAAATGAAAGTGGAACCTTATTTTGGGTCGGACAAAAAGGGAATGTAATGTTTTTATGGGAAGGAGTATTAGCTTAGAGGGAGTGAGTAGAACAGTATCAACCCACTCTACATTGTAGTGAAAGAAATATACATAAACTTTAGAGACTCAATTTGATGTGAATGATAAAGATGAGAATTTGATCATTAACTTAATTACCATAGTGGCCTGATCAGTAGAGATGTAGAGCCTTTTTCTTGGCAAGCTCTGCCTCTGCTTCCATTTGTGTGCGTTTGAAGAAACATGGGCTAGACAAGCAGACCACGGATTCTGAAAGCAAAATGGAAAAAAATAAATAAATAAATAAAAATAACCTCAACTTTTGGTGGAAATAAAAATATGTATGTTTATATATCTATGTCCTAATATAGAGAATTCTTGTCATTTTATACCCAGTTCCTACAGCTAACATTTGGAAAGATACACTCCATCTGTTCTAAATAAGTGACGCATCAGTCAAATTTATGTCTACAAAATGTCATGAATCAAATTTCATAGTGCATTACTTGGTTTTCTTTCAATTTTACTATTTCCTCCATTCAAAAAACCTCCCACAATGGTTTACAATGTGAGTGTAGTTCTTTTTCATTCAATTTGTTCAATAATTGGTGTATTACAAATTAAAAGGTGACATGACTATTATTTCATCAAATGCATAATGAAAATAGACAAAATTGGATGTTTTTTGGGACAAAATGAATATTTTTCACACAACTATTATATTTTAGAAAGATTGCATTTAATTGAAGGGCAAGCGTAACTATTTTTATTAAACTTTTTTTAAATAGAGTTCTCTTAAATGCTTTGCTTAATAGATTTGCAAAGCTAAAGTGTGACCCTCATTGAAAAACATAGAGAGTCGATAACAAAGCATTTTAAAAATTGCAATGAGAGGAAACTAAAATGACATGTAAATATTATGTTTTTGGTCAGGATTGACAGCTCGAGAAAGGAGCAGTCTGCTATTATTTTGGTTGTGAAGATCAAATCAAGCATTTTAGTACACCTTTCAATAAATTGTAGGGACATAAAAGTCTAAAACAAGATTTAAAATCACGAAGCTATCTCACTATCAGAATAGAAGGAAATGACGAGATATATAGTTAGATATACCTGGTTAAAAGGAGCTTAAAAACCCATCTTGGTTGAAAAGGGATAGTCATAAGCATTCAGCATGTCTGCCACTCTGCTAGACATGCAAGCCTAAACAATAAAATCTATTTACGCCCCGGCTCATTCTTATGTCTTGAATCCACTCTAAAAAACCTTAAGACCGGCCACTTGCATGTACAATCTCATATTACAGTTACAGTCCCGGGAAGCTCAAATCCAACGAGATTTGTCAGAATTGTAGCATGCAAAGGAAATGGTTACTTTGTTATGGATTAAGGTCGGTTGATTGCACTAAATGCAGATCCAAAGTTGAAAAATTGGTCCTGCATGTGGCCAGAAGATCAACCGACATACCTAGCTCCAAGGGTGGTAAAGCATAGCAATAAGGCAATGTTAATAAAGGACAATAAGCAATCAGCCTATCCTTGACAATCTCTTCCGCTTTTGAGTCTTGCTACGTGGAGTAGAGCTTATCGTTGCACAATTCCTAGAGCTAGGGGTCAGAGTAAAAGCAGAAGCAGGTTTGCCACAGGATGTTCTACTTTTCTTAGCAGCCCAATTCAAAGGCATGTTTTTAACTATGTGGCCTATGTTATTGGAAGCACTCAGCTCCACAAGTTGCTGAACCTGATCCACCATTTGATGTGTCCATGCCATTGAGAGATCAAGTGCTATTGAGTCGTCCATTGGCTTTTTCATAAGATCCATTAAAATCTCTTGGAATGACCTGAAAGACATGGAAGGTATATGGCCTTGAATACTGCCACACATCATATTTACCTTAATGACATGCTTGCATAAGTTTCCTTGCATTGACCACTCACACCCGCAATGGGCAAATTCAGATCCAGCGTTCCAAATAAGACGCACAACATTATTGTCTTTCTGACTTAAAACTTTAGCAAAAGGATGTTGTCCACTTTCTAAAGACACGGCTGTATCAGGAATTTGCAGTGCCCGATGCCATGATGACGAAGCAATATAATCTTCCTTAACATTTTGAAATGAATCACTCTCATCTGCGTATCTGTCAAGCCAATAGCTTGAATGCAACTCAGTTGTCAGCTTGTGGACCAGCCAATCAACTCTCTGTAGTGCGCCTAAATGTGAATCATCGTACAGTTTTGATTTAAGCTTGACATGATACGCTTCAATTGCACAAGATGCTTCAATGCTTGCAAGGGGAAACGACTTCATTGTAGTAAGCCACATTTCTGTATGACAGGATATCAATATCATTAGAGAGATATATAAACATTAAATAAACTGTTATTTTTTAAAAGCCTAGTTGTTTTATACTCCCTTCGTCCAGATTTAGTTGTCGATTTTCCATATTAAATAACAAGATTATGATGAATGGTCGAAAATATCCTAAATATAGAGTATGAGCATTGTTGGCATGAATGAGTGACAAACTCATTTTAATGACTTATTTGACATTATACATTAAAATTGACACTTTACATTAAATTCTTTATATGGATTATATTTGAAACTGGACAACTAAATCCGGATGGAGTAGTTATCTCACTTGTAGTGGGATCTAATGGCACACACATGTGCACACAAGAGAGAGTGATTTCAATCTAACCTATTTTAGGCACCCAGGTAGATGTAAAATATTGCATAAAATCAGTTTGATCAACAAAGTCTTGAGTTAGTTCCTCCAAAGTGACAGCATGATCACCGCCACCCCAAATACTATAAACCATATCACTCAGGCGCTTCATTAACTCCCTTTGCACTATGATATTAGCACATTTCTTGCAAACATTTCTCAACCAAGATCTACGAACACGCCAAAGAGAAAAAATTATAGGACAAGACAGAGCCTCCCTGCAAAACAAATAAAACTTTGTTAATCATGTGCCAATCAATGACTAAATTAGAAATTACTTAATTTTTATAAACAAAATATGTGAATATGCCTTATTGGATCAATCTCTGTAGCAGCATCATCAATTAAAACCCCGTTGAGTTTCCATGTTGGATCAGTTGAGTGTACACGAGCAAATAAAGCTTTCATCCATTTATTCACATCTAGCTTCGCAATACTGCGTGTGATGATCCATGCAACAGGGAGTGCAAGTTGCCTTGAATCAAAAACAAGAAGGGTGCACAACGGATACTGCCATATGCCCATATCATGAGATGAGAACAAGTTATGAAATTTGCAAGATAGTGAAAGAAATATAATATCTGTACCACCTTGAGTTTCTTAATTCCAAATGTAGAACTGACAGCTAAGATACTGTGATGGCCAAAACGAATCATTTGTTGCAACTGCCACTCAGTTTGTATTCCTAAGATGAATGGGTCTCTTTCTGATGTATCCTGATAAATGAAAACAGATTTTTTGTTGCGTTCAACCCACATCCGAATGCTAGCTTGATCATCAAGATCCAATTCATAAGTAGATCTTTTAATAATCATTCCAAGTTTATGGACATACTGTGAGGCAAGGCTATTAACTTTTGCATCTGAATCACAATATCGCTGAATGCCTTCAATGTGCTTTTCTAAAACATTTTCCTCAGGAATACCAAGATAGATCATAGACATAGTTTGCTGTTGTATCTCATTGCAAATGTATGGAATATTTTTAGCACCAGGTCCAATGGCATCTCTGTCTAGTGGTCCATGACAAACAAAACCAGACTTGTTAACGTGTCGCCTATTATTAAATATTAGAAGAGCAAGGGATGGACAAGCATACAAACGCTTCACCACAAAATGACATGTGCAGCCCCTCATGGATTGGGGTCTGGCAGCACGATTACGAGTGTTAAGCCGATACCTTCGGCTTGGTAATATGCCTCCTCCTTCTCCATAGTTTTCAGGGCCAAAAGAACACCAATACCTAAGAGGAAGACAAGAAGGATATTTGTGATGGGACCCATCAAGTGTTCTTTGTCTTACCAAAAAAAAGGAAATTGTGCATCCAATCATTATGTGGTTTGTCGGGTCTTGTAGGGAGTACTGCGTCAACTTAGACAAGAAACAAATGAAAAAAATATACTCCCCCCACCCCGTCCCAAATTCAATAATGTGCAAAATCTCAATTTTTTAAAAACGATTTATCTATAAATTGGTATAGAATAAAAAGTACAAATTACAGATTTAAAAACTACCTCAAGAGTTCTACAAAACAAGATGCAACAAGAATATTTTATTTTATAAAATGACCAATGAAAAAACATGAGTCAACAAAAGTTATCAAGGGACTCAAATAGTAAAAATGTTAATCATTTTGGGATGGAGGGAGTATAAGTTTGTTGGATTTGGAAAAGATTAATTCTGAATAAATCTTTATCATAAATTTACTTCTGCTTTTCTTTGTTTAGTGTCATAATTCCTCTAGGGTAAGCATTAAACTCCAATTAACATCAAGAAATTCCAAGCACACAACAATTAAATTAAAAAAAAAGAATGATGATCCATAATCAAACTCTATGCTTTATCTCTCTCGCACCTCACACATAAGATTAAACAATTGAAGAGCAAGGAAGGGAGACTTACATCCTGTACTCTAAGTATTCATCAGGCCTATACTCTTTTAAGCTTCCTTCAGTTCGTTTCCTACCCCTCTCGATGTGGAATCTTGTTGGGCATTCCACATTAGAACATTCTCCAACAATAAAGGCATCAACTCGGTCATAAGGAATCAAGGCAACTTCATCGTTGTGCTCTACATTTCCAATCTTGGTCCAAATCAAATCTCCTGAAGAGAAGTGTTCCCCCGGTGGGTTTTGCACAACAAGACTTTGGATGGACTCGGCTACATCCATACCTGAAACAAAATAAACTACGAAAAGATGTATACACACAATCACAAACACCAGTGTAACAATTTTGATTGTGACATTAACATTTCCCTATTGGCGTCAGAAAACCAAAAATCAGACTTCAGGCAGTCAGCTCTTGATGCAGCCTTAGTCTTACTTCCAAATACAGAATAACCGACTTTCATTTGTGTATGAAAGAAATTCAACAAAAAATGCCTAACCAAATGTATATAACTTTCTAATCATGTCATGCAATCTGTAAACAAATACAGTAAGGCAGAACTCTGAAATCCTTGGCAGAAGTTAGTAATCAAGCATTAAAGGTGTGAGGTTTGGAGTGGAGTTTTTTCAGGCAAGGGCGAGAACAGTGGTTGATCTAGGAATTCGGACAAGCCAGGGCTGGACTAAATTGTCCGAAATTCTAGTACTATGTGTTTCAAAAAATAAAGCCATTGTTTCACAATGAGAAAAATTACAATATTGATATTACATTGTTTGTTTGAGTTTTATTAGACACAAGAACTAATGGATGATAATCACGTTTTTGGCAAAACATCCATACATCTATAACAATAAATTAAAAATTAATAAGGCTGTGATTTAAATAAAAAACCAAACATTTAAAATACCAAATGAATTCCCCTACATTTCAGGACCCTAACATTTAATTTTTAAAACTTACCTTTAAACAGCTGGCTGCAACAGATGGTGGACGGAAAGCCAGACAACTCAAGGCCGGACAGGCGGTTCCCCTTTTGATTTTATTTATCCAGAGCCAAGAACAATACACGGACAGCAAAGAGGAGAGACTTCCTTCAGTCCTTCTCGGCAATTTTTCCCGTGCTTAGAGTGGATTATGTCGGCAGGTGATTAGCTCTCTCTGGTACAGTGCTGCAATAGAGGGATTCCAATTTCCATGCAGGGGCCGTAACGGGGCAGTCTCCCCTCTCTACTCTAAATCTAGGTTGACTGAGAATTTCAAGCCGGGCCTGATCCGTGGGGCCGCGAGACGGAGTAAGGGCGTCAGGGTTGGGGTATGAATACAGTGACGGTAGGCAAGCTGGTTGCAGTGCGTCAGGAGCGTTTTCTGCAGAAGGGCGTGGACAGGAACTATGGAGGCGCTAGAAGGAAGCTCCGCAGTTGACACAGTTGCGGTAGTCAGATTACTGTGACTGAGATTGTTTTCAAACCCCTCGCACTAGGGTTTTAGGGGAGCAATAGGGGTAAGGTGTACCCAAATGTACATCACTCCTTCTCCACCATACATTTTTATTTTATTTTTATTTACTTATTTTTTTTAAATATTTTTTGCCTTTTTTAGTGGACAAGGAGGGGGTGGGGGACATATGGGGTACACCAAAGGTGTACCCCTAGCATTTTTCTTTTAGGAGTTGTATGTTTAGGCTCTGTTCCGTTCAACTTATTTTTTCTGATCTAATTTGATTGGATCTGATCTTGTCTGATTAAATCTGATCTAATCTGATTGGATCTGATCTGGTTTGATCTGATTGGATCTCATCTGATCTCATCTAATTGGATCTCATCTGATTAATTATGATTTGATTTAAAATTCAAATCAATAATTTGATTTGATTTTATGATAATAACGTTTGAAAATTGTAATGATAATTCATATTATAATATAATCAATATTTTTTATTTTATAAATATTTTTTAATAAAGTAAAATTAGTTAATTTATATATTAGAATAATCATTCATATTTTAATGTAATAATATTTTATGATTATTGTTTGTGAAATAAGAATATTGATTTAATATTTTAATAATTAGTTCATACATACATTAGAATAAATATTTAATTTATATAAAATCAATACAGAGAAGAGATAGTATTTTTATTAAAATATATCATCCTTATAAAAGATCAAAACTTTAGAAACTCAAATTACAGGTAACAATAAAAATGTATTTTAAAAGTAGAATTAGATTGACATTGTCAATGTATTTTAAAAATAATTTTTTCGACGTCTAATAATTAAGGATTAATTTCTCAGTTTTCTATTTAAGAAGAAGAAGAAGAGTAATAATAATAATAATAATAATAATAATAATAATAAGAACAACAACAACAACAACAATAATAATAATAATTCTTTATGGGATCTGATCTGATCTGGTATGGTCCGGTCTTATTGGATTTGATCTGATCTAATCTGATTAGATCTAGTCTGATCTGATCTGATCTGATTGGATTAACTTGAACGGAACAGGGCCTGAAAAGAGCTTCTAACCACTTATGTTTATCGGCAAATTATATCGTACACCCGGTTGTACCTAATTTTAGGTACAACCGGCTAATTGAAGAAGGAATGAACTGCCGGAATTAGTGTCGCTCCTCCATTTGCCGGGTCGGGCCACCGGAATTAGTGTCGCTCCTCCATCTGCTCTACAAATTCCGATGGCGGAATTTGTGTATTAGTACAACAACAACAACAACAACAATAATAATAATAATAATTCTTTATGGGATCTGATTTGATCTGGTATGGTCCGGTCTTATTGGATCTGATCTGATCTGATCTGATGAGATCTTGTCTGATATCTGATTGGATTTGATCTGATGTGTTCTGATCTGATCTGATCTGATTTTAATAAGAATAAGAAAAAATAACTTAAACGGAACAGGGCCTGAGAAGAGCTTCTAACCACTTATGTTTGTCGGAAAATTATATCGTACACCCGGTTGTACCTAATTTTAGGTACAACCGGCTAATTGAAGAAGGAATAAACTGCCGGAATTAGTGTCACTCCTCGATTTGCCGGGTCGGGCCACCGGAGACGAAAGAAGATGGAGCACGGAAGACGATAGAGAAGGGAAGATGACGAGGAGCTACGATGGCAAAAATCTCCGGCGAAAACGATAGAGAATGAAGATACACCCGGTTGTACCTAATTTTAGGTACAACCGGCTAATTGAAGAAGGAATGAACTGCCAGAATTAGTGTCGCTCCTCCATTTGCTGGGTCGGGCCACCGGAATTAGTGTCGCTCCTCCATCTGCTCTATAAATTCCGATGGTGGAATTTGTGTATTAGTACAACAACAACAACAATAATAATAATAATTCTTTATGGGATCTGATATGATCTGGTATGGTCCTGTCTTATTGGATCTGATCTGATCTGATCTAATTAGATCTGGTCTGATCTGATCTGATCTGATTTATTCTGATCTGATCTGATTTGTTCTGATCTCATCTGATTTTAATAAGAATAAGAAAAAATAACTTCAACGGAACAGGGCCTGAGAAGAGCTTCTAACCACTTATGTTTGTCGGCAAATTATATCGTACACCCGGTTGTACCTAATTTTAGGTACAACCGGCTAATTGAAGAAGGAATGAACTGCCGGAATTAGTGTCGCTCCTCCATTTGCCGGGTCGGGCCACCGGAGACGAAAGAAGATGGAGCACGGAAGATGATAGAGAAGGGAAGATGACGAGGAGCTACGATGGCGAAAATATTCGGCGAAAACGATAGAGAATGAAGATCTAAGGAGCACGGAAGGTGGTGGCGGCTTGAGGTCACTGGTTGGGTCGCGTAGATGGAGGAAGAAAGCATCTATGAAAACCCTAGTTGTGGAGAAAAGTTATTTATGGTATGAGTTTTATTTTATTTGAGAATGAACATTAAGTTATTTGAGAATGAGTATTATTTTTATCTAAAATGAACACTACGTTATTTGTGGATAAATATTATAATTGTATTGAATAAATGTGTGAAAATGAGTACTGCATTATTTTGGAATGAATACTACGTTATTTTAGAATGTATACCACGCTTTTTCAAAATGAATAGTTATGTTTGTGCGAGAATGAGTACTGCTCTACTTCATAATGAGTACTACCCGGATGTACCTATCTCTATGTACATCTGATTGTACCATATACCTTCTCATGTTTGTCGTGCAGACTATTTGTTTTTAGAAGATAAACCATTTAAAAACGTTTTCCAAACATCTTACTCAAGCAGACATAAAACAATAGTTTTTCACGTCTTTTCATCAATTACGATCTATCTCAAAACCTACCCATTCGCCTCCCTACTAGATCTCTCCATCCGGCCCTGTGCGCGACCCTCTACTGCCGGAGTCTCCACCACCGCTAGCGACTCCTCTCTCCCTCTGCCAGCTTCTCCTCGTCCTCCCTAGCCGTCCGCCGCATGTCTCCCTCCTCCCTTGCCGTCCGTCTCCCTCCGCCGGCTTCTCTTCATCCTCGCCGGCGACGCCTCCTCCTTCTCCTCATCCCCGCCGACTTCTTCTCATCTCTATCGTCCATCTCCTCCAATTCTCATTCCTGCAGCAACAAGTAAGTTTTTTTTCTTTTTTTGTTTCTTTAATCTCTTTTTAAACAATTTTTTTTTATATTTTTGTTGTTAACAATTTGTACAATAGTTAATTTTTTTTTACATTTTTTTACATTCTCATCTCTGCCGGCAACTATTTGTACAATTGTTTTTTACATTCTCATCCCTGCATCGGATCGTGAATATATGACCCAATTACGAGATGAAATTGCCGAGCACTTAATGCAAAGTGCGGAATAAATCATTAGAAAAATTGTTATTTTTTATTTTAAAAAATGTTATTGTTGTTATTTTAGTGTTTTAGAACTCTTATTTAAATTTAAATATTTAAAAAATATCGATTGCTTTAAAAATCTATTTATTTTAAATTTCAATTTCTTTAAGCAATTTACAGAAAAAAACAAACAGCACCTCATCCTTTTCTCAATAGTCATTTTGGTCTAGATATGTTCATTCGAGTAAAGTAGTTCATGTGTATAGAACTAGTTCTTGGAAGTTCAAATATAATTTATTTCCTAAAATTTTGAGTTATCACTTTAAATGACGTAAAAGCAAAGATCGCGTGTATTAGTTTTTGTATCAATAATCATGTTGATGGTGTAAATACCGTGCAAATATTAAGTATAAATGATCGGAAGGGCTGTGTTAGCCTTGGTTTGCTAAGCCTCATGTTTTGATGTTAACAAACAATATAAGAGCTTAACGTTTGTTTAAGTGTTTCAGGTAAAACAAGAATCCATTAAGATTCGGTACTCAAGAATGAAGTCGAAACACTAAACTAGCGCAGAATATAGGTAGAAACCGATGTAAGGATATGACTTTATATACCTATATTCACAAGCTCAAAAGCACTCACAAAATATGTTTAAAACCATCCCATAAACATTTTCAAACATCTAAAAGGTTTTAAACTCAAACAAGAAGAGGGAATTTTGGAAAAATCAGGACAGTGGCACGGTACCCCTAGCGGTACCCCAAACGGTAGGGTATACTGCCTACACGGTACCCCCATACCGTGTAACGGTACCTAGGTACCGGACAGTAGGCGTAGACGGTTGGCCCAACCCGTCCTAACCAGGTACCACCAGAGCCGAATGGATTTTTGGTGTTACACGGTACTGAGGTACCGCCACTCACGGTACCATGCTACCGTGTGAACGGTACCGGCCTACCGTGACCGTTGGGTTACTGTTCCTGATTTGAGATTTTGAATTAAATCAACCCTAATCACCTCCCAACGGCTAATTAACATCTTCCACTATAAATACAAGCCTAATCCTTCATATTTCTTCAAGAAACAAAGCTCTAAACATCCTCTCTTTTTATTCTAAGTGTGTTCATCCTTTTATTAATCATTTTCAATATTTTGGCTATTTTAAGAGCCTTAAATTCCCGATTTTTATACACACACTTTGAGCTTGTGTTTCTAGTTATATACTCTCATATTCATAAGTTTGAATTGTATTTTTGAGAGAGTGTACTTTCCTTATACACCGGCTAAGTTTTGTTCTTCATTTTAATATTCTAGCCGTTGTGTAGAATCTACTTTTGTGTTTTTCAAACACACCTTCTTACGGTCGAGAACCGCCGTTAAATTCTCACATTGTAACGGTCAAGGATAGCCGTATAAATCCTTAGGTAAAGGTTCAAGGATAGCCTTTGAAATCCTTGGGGGAGCGGTAGAAGATAGCCGTTAAATCTTCATTGTAAACGGTTCGAGATAGCCGTGGTGAAATCTCAGAGTGAATCCTATTGGCAAGGGTTGTTTGCCAAACTAGTGCGGTGCTTTGACGGAGTTCAAGAGGCCAGAACTTAGTGGATTCGGAAATCCTTGAGGAGGAGCCTCGAGGTACTGGAGTAGGGAGTTCCCAAACCAGTATAAAATCGGTGTGCATTTTATTTACGCTTTTATTTATGCATTTTATATATTGCTTCCGCATTTGCCAACACCGTTTTTTTTATCAAACTTCGAAAAGATTTTAAATGCCTTATTCACCCCCCTCTAAGGCGTGGGCACAACGTCTAAACCGACTAACAGGCTGTAGATGGAAACACCTGTAAACCGGTTTGTTATTAATGATAATAGGATTTTTACAAAGTACAAGCCGTATAGGTTAATTAAAGCAAGCCTCACACGAGGCCATGTCTGTGATTCTGGATCTCCTCACCCCTGACCGGTCAGACTGCCCGGGTCGACCGGGTTATAGGGCATTGGATTCGATACCTCCCGGTCGGTGCGAACCTACCGGGTGGAATCCATGGGTTATTACCCATCAAGGAGTCCTCCGATTCCCGGCGCTGTGGGTACCATCAGGGGCGGGAAGCAAATGCTATCCTCTTTTTCAATTTCAACTCCCCGGGTGGTTTTTGGCGGGAAAATGGCACTTGTAAACCGGCGCCCAAATTTCAAAATTTAAATTTTGAAATCCCGGGCACTAGATGCGGGGGAATCTTCATTGGAATCCAGTACGGCGCCGCTGATTTGTCGCTCCGTTTCGTCTTCCCGAGAAGTTATCATTACAAATCATTTTGGCTGCCACGTGTCATTCCCTTATTTGTCCGGCTGGGGGGCACCTTCCTGTTGTATTTAGGTGCCCTGGCGGCAATCAAATACCTGTGTAACTGTACACTTTATCATGAATGAAAGGCCTTGAAGTATGTTTTATATCTCGTGTAACATAACATAGCTTCAGTCCATAGACGATAGCGCTTCAGTAACATAGATGAAGACTACGATGTTCTGATTATGAGACTGTTACTTCTTGACGAAGGCTGTGTCTAGAATATCCCTAGTCGCACTTTATGATAATACGGACGTCATAACGTATCAAGACTAGTACGTACGAGATGAGATAGTTGCGTCTCATAGACTATAGGTATTGTGATATCTTAATCTGTACGTAGGTGCATATTATATTGATAATATGTGACTGGATTGACCCATCTTGAGAATACTGCATGGATCTACA